CAGATGTGCTCTCTATTGTCCCATATCCAGGCCACAGACACACTCAATCAATGGATGTTAGTGCTATGTGTTTCTTATGTTTTGCTATAGGTCACCTGTAGCTTGAGCACGCAGCTCGATTTCACCTGTGCTCAAACTCAATAGCCGTGATCTTGACTAAGATTCTTTCGAAGGAGAGCAGTTTTAGCGAATTTTTGAAAATACCTATTTCAAAACTTTTTTTTGACGCGAAAACGCATACTGTAAGGAAGCTGTTGTTTGTACCATTCAGCAGTCCGGAAAGCTGAAATTTTGCAAGGATGTTTTGGTTCCAAGCGCGGCTCCTTGAATGCAAAATCAGGAGAACAATTTCGGGGGCCAGACAAGATAGAAAAAGGCCTGGCATAGTTTCGCCCAGTATTGGGAGCGTTCCAGCAATATCACTAACTTGGGATACTCATACTGAATGTGCGAGCGATACTGGTATTTTTGGGCAATCGTACCCTAACATTGCTCTTTCTTGCTGCAGTGATGGTAGTAAATCTCAAAACAAAAACAAAAGAAAAATTTCGTAACAAAAAAATTTTCCGTATGTTGCTCACGGTATTTGAGGAACGCAATTTCAGTTATCTATCAGATGCGACTGCACTGTACCTGGGGCGACGAATTTTACATCGGATTGAATGGAATCGAATTTTTTGATCACCGTGACCAGCTTATCAAACTTCTTCCGCAGAGTGTGTTTTTTGCTTTTGCTAGATTTCAAGATCACTGAATTTTTGAAGCTTTTCTTCGGAAAAACTTTCACCTTCCTTGACCTACGGTCTGCTAAGGGTGTAGCTGAAAAAAGAACGTTACCAACCAATAACTTGGGGACGACGTGTGGTGACACTCAAAACACACTAGTACATTTCGAAACGGTTAAATCCTTGTCAAATATTTCTTTGGAGTGTACCGCTGAACTGGTAATTCATTCAGGCGGCGAAACGAACGTCAGAAGTGCCCGAGATATTAAAAAATTACAGCTGATCCAAGTTTCCAAGTATTACTTCTCAATCTGTAAATGTCAGCGTATTCAGTTGATAACAATCGCAAAGGACTTTCAGCTCTAGTCGCTAATAATACAGAATTATGGACTAATTTTTGATAACTTATAAATTATAGTACTAAACAGAATTGAACAAAGGAATGCAGAACTGGCATGTTTCGGTCCATGAAGTCGTATACATTTCAAATGAGCACATGTGGAGAAGAGACTGCACCACGTTTTGTTTGCCTTGCCTTAGGCGATGCCTATAATGAACAGTGCTACTTTTCTACCTTCATAGCTATGCTAAAATACTTGGCTTGCAAAATTTTGTAGATCTGGCAGCATTTCCGGAAAGTGTGAACGTTTTGCCGAATGTTAATAGTGATCCACGAACAAGCGCAAAGCTTATTGATGGCGTCAATGATACCGATAAGTATGCTTTTTTAGTATTCGTGACCTGAATTTGTGTGGAATTTCGAAATTACCGTAATTAAGCTATAACTGTTTAGTGTAATTGTACCAAGTTCCTACATCTTGAGCTACAGTAACATCATCAGCTTGCTTGTAAGCAACTCTCGGAAAAGGAAGCCATCCCAGAGCCTTATCGGAGGGTTGTT